GTACAATCGATCCTTGAACAACATAGGAGTTAGGGGCATTGATACCCCTTTCAGTCAGAAATCTGGGTATAACTCCTGACTCCCCCAAAATTTAACTACTAATAGTCTACTGTTGATCTTGACCAGAAGCCTTATCAATAACACAAACAGCCACTTACCACATATTTTGTGTGTTCTATGCATTCTGTACTGTATCCTCACAATAAAGTCAGCTAGAGAAAAGAAAATGTTACTAAGAAAATCGCAAGGAGGAGAACATATATTTTCTATTCATTAGGTGGGATTGGATCTGGATCATCAAAAAGGCCTTTATCCTTCTCATCTTTACATTGAGTGGGCTGAGGAGGAAGAGGAGGGGTTGGTTTTGCTGTCTCAGAAGTGGCAGAGACAGAAGAAAATTCACCTGTAAGTGGACACCGGCAGCTCAGCCACGTTGTTCAAGAGTCAACTGTATAACTTTTAAATGATGTATCTATGTGGACCTCGTTTTGAAAATACAATAATAATGATGACAAACGAAATGAAAATCAGCACACCAGGCAGGATTCTTTGAGCTGGTTTTCTCCTAAGTCCGCAGAATACAACTCTGTCATTAAAAGGGATTCCAGTCCGAATCTGTACAAGGTCCCCAAGCTCCTTCCCCTTCAGGCTGCTCAGGGCTGCTCTCTCGGCGAGTGTTTCACCCTTAGCCCGCACTTACACAGAGCCACTATTTAACAACCTCTTTGTCTGTCTCCGTAATTGTAATAACTATACACATTGAGGGAAGGGGGAGATGGAAGCATAGTAAGCATAGTTTCCTTTTGAATTTGGAAAGAAAAAAAGTTTAATCAGGGGGCCGGGCACAGTGGCTTATGCCTGTAATCCCAGCACTTTGAGAGGCCGAGGCAGGCAGATCACCTGAGGTCAGGAGTTCAAGGCCACCCTGGCCAACATGATGAAACCCCAACTGTACCAAAAACACAAAACTTAGCCAGGCATCATGGCAGATGCCTATAATCCCAGCTACTCTGGAGACTGAGGCAGGAGAATCGTTTGAACCCGGGAGGCAGAGGTTACAGTGAGCCAAAATGGCATCACTGCGCTCCAGCCTGGGCTACAGGGTGAGACTCCATCTCAAAAAAAGAAAGAAAGTTTAATCATTTCCTCCTATAAGCAAAGCCCAGTGTGAAGATGGGTGAGGTCCTGGTGGAGCTATTGTTATCTCTTAAAAGCTATTTTATTCTTTTGAAATCAAAGGCAAGAAAACACAGACACAACCACATCGAGACCACTGCAGACTGCTCTCTACCCTCTCCTCTGTGCTCCTCCATCAGGCACACCTGCTAGATTAATCCTCCTAAAATGCCACATTAATCATATTACTGCTGCTCACTGATCTTCATAGCTCCTAATTACTTAGAGAATTAAATTCGAACATGGACTTGACTGCTCTGGGCCCTCCCCAGCTGGGCCACATTCCATGGCTGGTCCTCTTACCAACGTCTTTCTGTGTTTCTACCCTTCCTTCTGACAAATTAGTCTGACCACCATTTCTCAAATTAATTGTGCATTTTCTCAACACCAAGCATTTGCTCACTCTATTCCCTGGGCCATAAAGCTCTTTCATCATTCTGTTTCCCTCCCTCCCTCCCTCCCTTCCTTCCTTCCTTCCTTCCTTCCTTCCTTCTTTCCTTCCTTAATCATGGAGTATCTACAATGGATTAGGAGCTGTGGGTGAATCCTGCTCCCTCCTCCACCTGCCCTGCAGGATGTCTCCCCCGTCCACAGCACACACCACTTAATGTTTTGTCATTAGTTTGTCAATTAGTCATAAAATCCTGTAACCACCTCTTATGTTATTCAAAAATATATTTGCTTTATCTCACAATAAGATTTCTCCCTGCCAAGATCATGGCTTATTCTTTTTGGCGCATGACATCATGTATTGCCTGTAGTAGGTATGTTTCAGAGACATTTCTTATATGTATGAATTCATTGTGGATGAATTAATTCACAATGAATTGATAGATTAATTGTATTAAAATTCAGTCTTAATGACTTCTGTACTTTGATCTTTCCCTAACCATAGTGCTGCAAGCTTAGATATCCCTGCAGGGCAGAGGACTGTGTAAGGTGAAGTAATTCCTGAGCTAGACATCTGGGCATTTTATAACTGTCCAATGGCAATAATAAAGCCTTGAGCCAAATCACAGCGTGGGATGTTATTTCATCATTCTTAGTGGATCCATGCCTCAGGGAAACCCATGGCATAGAGAGGCTCGTGATTTTAAAAAGCAGAATAAATAAATCGAGGGTAAAATATTGCCTGTGCACCTGGAGGACATTATGCTAAGTGAAATAAGCCAGTCATAAAAAGAAATAATGTAGGATTCCACTTACATGACTTCCTAGAATAGTCAAATTTGTAGAGAGAGAAAACAGAGTGGTAGTTACTGGAGGCTAAGCTAGGGTAGAGAGGTAATTGTTTAATAGATACAAAGTTTCCATTTTGCAAGATGAAAATGTTTAGGCCATTACTTGTACAACAACATAAATGTAATTGACACTACTGAACCTAAAAATAAAGACGGTAAATTTTATGATATGTGTACTTTCTCACAGGTCTTAAAATTTTTTAGCATGCCTTTAGTCCCAGTTACTTGGGAGGCTGAGGCAGGAGGATAGCTTGAGCCCAAGGATCCAAGACTGCAGTGACCTATGACTGCACCACTGCACCCCAGCCTAGGTGACAGGAGACACTGTCTCTAAAACAAATAATAATAATAATAATAAAATACACAGAACTAAAAAATTTACATAACCATTAAAAAGAAAAAAGTAACTGCTTGTGAAAGAATTCTGAGGTATGTTTGGCAGATTAAAATCATTTCAATCATGGCAAAAGAAAAATGGCTCTGCAGTGGTTTTCAGATAACAAAGGAATTTACAGGTATTTGTTTGTTTGTTTGTTTGTTTGTTTTAGCAAGAAAGCTGCTCTAATATATTTCAAGTAACTAGATGGACCATTCTTTGGAGTATCTTCCGATCTTGCCACCTTAATAAATGGATGAATGCCTCCGTTGTCCGGAATGTTTATTTCTGTGTTCTCATCTTGAATAATTATAAAAGAGAATAGCCTTACAGATCACTTCACAATTTATAAAATCTCTCAAGTTTGCTGTTTTCAAAGACAGGGATGTCTGTGTCAGCACCCCCATTTCCACATTTGATCATGGGCAAGAAAGAATTTTTTTTCTTTTGAGTGAATTCTTTTTATTCTTTTCGTGAACCAGTTTCTCCTTATTTGATCTTCTAAACTAGACACAAGGTTTTGGATGACCTTTTTATAAAGTCCTTCTTCTATATAGGAAAGCAATGTTTATGTATGCATACTTTTTTAACCACATCTGTGATATGTTCAATGGCTCAGGGATAAAACACTTAGAAATAAAGAAAAGAGTTTTTTGGTTTTTGTTTTGCCAGCGTCTCGCTTTGTTGCCCAGCCTGGAGTGCAGTGGCGCAATCTCAGCTCACTGCAGCCTTGACCTCCTGAGCTCAAGTGATCCTACCACCTCAGCCTCCCGAGTAGAAAACCTTTTTTTTTGGGTGGGGGGCCGGGGGAAGATGGAGTCTTGCTGTGTGGCCCAGGCTGGAGTGCAGTGTCATGATCTGAGCTCTCTGCAACCTCTGCCTCCTGGTTCAAGCGATTCTCCTGCCTCAACCACCTTAGTAGCTGGGATTACAGGTGCCTGCCACCACACCCGGCTAATTTTTGTAGTTTTAGTAGAGACAGGGTTTCTACATGTTGGCCAGGCTGGTTTTAAACTCCTGACCTCAAGTGATCTGCCCACCTCAGACTCCCAAAGTGCTGAGATTACAGGCGTGAGCCCCCAAACCCGGCCAAAGCATTTTTTAAGAACTGGAACTAATGTAAACTTCTAGGCATTACATTGAGTAGTTGACACAAATTCTTGATGAATTTTGCTCCAATTTTTCCGGCAGCTTAGACACAAAGGGAAACACATTGGATTATGTATTTTGTTTTGCAGCAGGAGAATATGTTCAAATTTAAGTGCAGGTGATGACAGTAATTGGGACACTTGATTTTTATGTTCTTTAAAAGAAACAAGTATATATCTGTTGACTTTCTCGTGTAACACTCATTTTACATTCGTTACTCTCTTCTTCTTTGCAGAACTTTCACTTTCTTTGTAACTTTCATCCAACAGTGAAACAAACTGGAAATTATGGTCTACTAAGGAACTGACTGTGGAAGAGAAGAAATGAATGATTCCTGTTCAGCCTTTGCAGGGTACAATATCTCACCCATTGCTGCTTCTGAGAAGTTTCTTTGGAGGCTTTTTTTTTTTTTTTCTGAGGTGCTTTTTTTTCAGCCAGTATCTCCCCAGTCCATATTTATTTCTCAGTCAAGAAACTTCATAAATGTCTAATCTTCTAGAGTCTGAGGAGCTTGGAATCTCTTGGGCTCTTCAACCCTTTGAGAGCCTTTCATGTAAGTGAAACAAATAGAGAGTAATACAAGATAGGATACGAGCAATAAGGTGCTAAATTGAATGTAATCAAGAAAGTGCAAAAATGGCTGATCTTATCAATAAGTCAGAAAAGTGTGAAAAATTACATGAACTACAAAGATCTGGGAAGGTCTCACGGCAGCCAGAGACTTCGAGATTGTAGGAGTCCATAGGAAATTGGCTCTTGCCTCTTTCTACTTTTCCCCATTGAATTTGTTTTTGTTTCTATGGAGTAATTTTCTTCTATCGGTCCTTTTTCATTTTATCCCTGCCCTTCAGAAATTCATTCTATTTCATTTCTTTAGCAAATATGAGGGGCATATTATTGATTCTTCAATTCCCTGTCTTATTTTTCCTATGCAAAAACCCAGCCTGTAAGTGTGTTCTTTCTCCAAGGCTATTTTAAACAAACCATTTCCCCAGTCCTTCTTTTTGCTAAACAGGACTGTCTAATCGGGTTAAGTTCTTTTTTTTTTTTTTTTTTAAACAGATAAACAGTTTCTTTATTCCTCCTCTTCTTCTTCCTCCTCCTCTTCTTCATCTTCCTCTTCCACCTTTTTCTGGGCAACTTTAGCAGGACCCTTTGCACCATCAAACTTTCCTTTTGACTTACAGTCAGCAACATCCTTCTCATACTTCTCCTTCAGCTTTGCTGCCTTAGTGATGTAAGGCTGCTTTTCACTGTCGTTTAAATTATTCCACATCTCACCCAGCTTTTTTGCCACGTCTCCAATAGAGATGCCAGGGTTTGTGAATTTGATCTTGGGACGGAATTCTGAACAGAACAGGAATAATCCAGACAGTGGCCTTTTGGGAGCATTAGGATGCTTCTTCTTCTTGCCTCCCTTAGCTGGTCCGTAATCCTGCATTTCCCAATCATAGCGCACTTTATCTGCCTTTGCCATTTCATCAAATTTAGATTTCTCTTTCCCGGGCATCGTCTTCCATCTCTCAGAGCACTTCTTGGAAAATTCTGCAAAATTGACAGGGACCTCTGGGTTTTTCTTCTTACGTTCTTCTCTGCACGTCTGCACAAAGAAGGCATAAGCAGACATCTTGCTCTTTGGTTTCTTGGGGTCACCGTTAGCCATCCTGACTGTATTGTTCGCTAGTCTAATCAGGTTAAGTTCTTGATGAAGAAGTACCTGGTTTGTGTTGGTACAGAATTCTCATTAGAATATATAGTGAAGCTCTATACACGTGTTCGTTAAGGCAACATTCCAATTCAGACACATTTCCAATCACATACCCCAGATATGCCAAAGAGTTTAAACCTCAGTCCTGATAACACTACTTCTCAAATGTGCTGTTCTAAAGTAGAAGAGATTTCAGAAACTTCAGACAGATTTGGTGATCCGTGCTTACAAAGATCTGCTGAATAGCCAGCTCAAATGCACTTAATTAGTATCACAAAATATCACCCATAAATTAAGGCCAAATAATAATGCATAGCTTACGAGATGTTTTAAAATGCATTCATCTGAAAATAGAGCTGAAACCTGAGAAAGATGCTGGTCCCACTAATAGTAAGAGAAATGCCAATTAAAGCGACATGAAAATGCCATTTCTCTCTACAGAGGGACAAAAAGCCCAGTTTGGCAGTGAATTCTATTGGAGCGACTGTGAAGAGTGAGGCACTTGCAGAGAATACTGGTGGGAATGCAAGAAGGTACAGCTTCTATGAAAGGGAATTTGACAACATGTATAGCAAAATCATATATACATTTACTCTTTGGTCGTCTTCTGGAGACCCACCCCTAAGATGGATTGCCAAAAATACAAAAACACTTATTCCTAAGGCTACTCCTTGCAGCATTATTTGTCATAGTAAAAGAAAAGCAACCTGAAATAACCCAAATGTCTATCCATTGGTGTCTGGGTAAATAAATTGTGGTCCAGCCACATGAAAGAATATCTCGTAGCTCTAAAAAGAAATGAGTAACTCTTCTATATAAACCATAGAGAGATTTTCAAGGTATATTATTGTACGTAAAAGTGAGGTGAGAAAGTGTATGCTGTTTTCTAGAAAGGGGAAGATATGAATATATACACACATTTATTTATGTTTTTAAAATAGAGCAAAGATCACTAAACACACACATAGAATGGCTAACTGGTACCTACAAGAAAAATGATGCAACAAAGCGAATAAAATAATGATAGAAGCTGTGAGCTTTGGCTATATCTTGTTTTAGAGATTTAGAATGATATAAACATGTTGCATAAATATTAAGTTAACTTTAAGCAACTCCTAAATATTAAAAAATAAACTTACATATACATCTGGTTGATGGCATAAACACACAGGGAGGAACTATTTAAAGCAACTTTTAGTTTACTTTATTACGATTTCAACTTTTATTTTAGATATGGGGGTTCACATGCAGGCTTGTTACCCAGGTACATCATGTAACACTGAGGTTTGGGTTATAAATGATCCTGTCAGCCAGATAGTGAGCATAGTACCCAATAGGTAGTTTTTCAGCCCTTGTCCCTTCCCTCTCTCCCCTCTCTAAGTAGTCTCCAGCATCTATTGTTCCCATCTTTATGTCTGTGAGTATGCAGTGTTTAGCTTCCATTTATAAGTGAGAACATGTAGTATTTGGTTTTCTGTTCCTGCATTAATTTGCTCAGGATAATGACCTCCAGCTGTATCCATGTTGCTGTAAAGAACATGATTTCAGTCTTTTTCATGGCTACATAGTATTCCATGGTGTATATGTACCACATTTTCTTTATCCAACCCACCATTGCTGGGCACTTAGATTGAGGGGTATATTATTGATTCTTTGCTGTTGTAAATGTGCTGTGATGAACATACGAGTGTGGGTGTCTTTTTGCTAGAATGATTTCTTTATTTTGGGTATATTCCCTCTAATGTGATTGCTGGGTCCAATGGAAGCTTGGTTTTAAGTTCCTTCAGAAATCTCCAAATTGCAAAGCAACTTTTATGTCATAGCGATTTCATTATATATCCCAAAGGACAGAAAGAACTTTAAAAAATATCTGAAATGATTACCAGTCACTTTGGTGTTGGTAGTGGTGATTTTGTTTTTCTGAGGCTATCATGTGAGTAGTGTGGATAAAGCAAGTGAGAAATGGTGTTGGCGTCATTGAGATCCAGATTTTTGTCATGTGAGAAAAAGGAAATTGATGAGATTGTGTAAAACTGTAGTCCTGATTTTGAAATGGAAATACCAGCATAAATGTATGACTTAATTTATACTTGAAAGAAAATACTTAAAATGCCCCAATTTTGTACCCTGTAAAGTCCTAGAAACAACCAATCCAGTAGTAATTAGTATTCCTCGTTCCCCAATGGTGGATCTAGATTCTATTTCCCACTAAAAAGAACCAACCTCCTTAAATAATTGGTCACACCAGGAAGCAAAGAAATTAAATGACTACCAAGGGTGTTTCAAACAGATTCAGGAGCAACTGAATAGTTCTTATTCCTGGGGTCAGACAATTTGATTCCAAATTAGGATAAAACTGTAATGGATGAATTGAAACATATCAAATTTGTTTGACTCCATAAATGAATAATGATGCTTTAAATAAATTCATCAGTCACATTTGGATGATGCTAGGCATGGTAAAAATTAGTGAATTTTAAAAATTGGTGAACAAAGGGGTGTTTCCTGTTGTGGATATATTCTAACTAATCAATGATGTAGGAATGATAGAATAAAAATGACAACATTTACAATCCCTAAAGAATTAACGGAGTTAGACAGAGATCAACAGATGATGATATCACAAAAAGAGAGAAAATCAGACATTATATAACACTGGGTGGAAGGAGATGCCACCACTGATGATGTATTCTTGCCAAATGTACAAGAAATACAGGAAACAGAGGAACATGATAAACAACACCACAGAGATTCAATTAGTAAAATCCAGATTACAGGAAACTGTAAAAGCAAATGACCCAGTGTGTTCAACAAGATTTGCAAGAAAAAAGAAAGAAATTGGGAAATCTATAGATTAAAAGAGAACTGAGACATACTAGTCAATCGCTATTTATGGACCTTATTTGGATCCTGCTTCAAACAACACACACAATTGAGGAAGTCTAAGCACCATTTCAGAATATTAAGAAATTATTGTGTAAGTATAAGAATGGCATTATGGTCGTTTTCTTTAAATCTCTGTCTTTTAGAGATGTAAACTACAATATTATAAGTGACAATGTATTAATTTATGTAATAGTCCATTAAAATTATTTATAGTAACTCTATTATAATTTTATAGAGAGAAGATATGGATATGCATATCTAACAAACTTTATTTTTTTATTTTTCACTTTTGTTTTTGTGGAGATGGGGTCTTGCTACGTTGCCCAGGCTGCTCTCAAACTCCTGGGCTCAAGTGATCTTCTGGTCTTGGCCACCCAAAGTGCTGGGATTACAGGCATGATGCACCATGCCCAGCCATCTAACAAACTTTATTTTATTGCTTAAACTCGCTTTCAAGCTTATAAATGACAATACATTTCTTGGATGTCAGGAGGCCTGAAGAAAACAAGTGATCATGAAAAGAGCTATGACGTATAGCTCTTCAAATGACCCATCTCTTGTGGGCCAGGCTCGGTGCCAGAGATGCAGTGATGATTAAGTGGAACATGTGAGCTGAGCTTGTGAGGATGAGAGAAACTCCACTGCATGAAGATCTGGGATGATGGACGAGCCCTGCAGGGAGGGGACCCCATGACCCCATGAAGTCCTGCCACAGTGGGGAAGAGCTTGGTGTAACTGAGTTCAGTTGGATCCCTCAAACACTGCCCAGAGCCCTTGAAGACATCTAAGGGCACACTTATCAGGCCAGCCCCCATACCACACTCAACTCAGAATCTTTTAAAGGCAGCTGCTCTGTCAGACTTGCCTGAGATGGGTTGGTTTTCCCTGGATAGGAGAGCCACACACAGTGAGAGCTCTAGGACTAAGTTGAACCACATGAAATCGCCAGCTTCATGGGCCCACAGTGGCCGAAGTTTGGCAATTTCCCATGTTCTAACCTCAGCATTCTGAGTGCCGGGACTGGCTCGTGGGGACCAGAGTGGCTGGGGAAATTCTCCTGGCTTTGTGTCTCCCTGGCCTTTCTACTCAGGCCAGGCTGAGGTTACAGCACAGATGGGGCTAGGGACACTGAGCAGGGCCACCGTAGAGCCTCAGGGACAGGAAGGCATAGATGGGCTCTATGTGGCCTCGCCTTCCCTTTCTGGGGAGTTGAGCATCTGGGAAGAAAGGAAACCCACTTAGAGAAGAAGATTGGGGTTCTAGACTTGAGCAATTATATGGACAGAGACTGAGGTCTGGTGTAAGTCAAAGTAAGAGATCTAGAGCAGGGAAATGAGTACCACAGTGTAGACCTCAATGGCAGTGTAACCTCGATGGCAGCATAACCTCAATGGCAGTGTAACCTCGATGGCAGTGTAGACCACAACGGCAGTGTAACGTCAATGGCAGTGTAACCTCAATGTCAGTGTAGACCTCAATGGCGACGTAACCTCAACGGCAGTGTAGACCTCGATGGCAGTGTAGACCTCCATGGCAGGAGGACTGTGGGAAGCACATGAAACATGGGGGAAAAGATGAGAGAAGACCTTTCTCTAAGCCAGCATTTGCTCTAAGTCACAGCAAGGAGGAACTGGTACCATACCATACCTTGTCTGTAGTTGGCCGACTTCAGCTTAGTAGGAATCGTTGACTGAACATAATTCTTTTAGCTGAGGATAGGTTCAGCCATTTTAAATTCATCATTTCAATGTGATCTTTATGGAATTTAGATCCTTAAAAATTCTATGAATTATCATAGAAAAAAGACAGATGATAGGAAGCGAGGGAAGAAGAACATCTCAGTGACCTTCCAACTAATTATTCCAATAATGACTCTGGCCATAGGGTGGGCAGGTGAAATAAGGTGCCCCGTAGAGCGTGCTGCCTTATCTTAGCAATTTTGTACTAATGAGAACGTGATATTTGAAATACACTAATGATATCAATTCATTTTACAGTCAGCTTCATATAATAGAAAAACTAATGCTTACTAGATATAGGAATAGTGGCTTAAACAGGATATTTATTTCTCTTTTGTGAAAAAAACAGTCTGCAGGTGGTTAATCCAAGGCTGTTTTGGAAGTTCTGTAGTCAACAGAGACCCAGGCCTCTGGTATTTTGCTGCTCCACCATCCTCAGTGGATCACCTCATGGCCCCAAGTGGCTACTTGAGATCCAGGCATCACATCTGTATTCCAGGCTGCAGTAGGAAAAAGAGAGAGAAGGTTATTCCCCACCTGTTTCAGGAGATTTCTATTAACACCCCATTAGGCAAAGCTTAGTCACGGAACACGTGTGAGTGAGGATGTATTTGTATAATATTTTAGATTAGATGGGCATGTTGCTGATCTGACTAAAATGAATGTTTTCTTACATGGAGAAGATGAAGCGTGTAGGGGTGGATGTTGGCCATCTCTTCACTTCAGCAGTAGGGCCTGCTGTTGGCCAAGGCACCTGTGTGGAGGAGAGGCTTCTGTTATGAAATTAGATAGGAATGACACCCACATAGAACAAAAAGTAAATCTTTTCCTCCTTCCAACTTGCTTCTAAGTGCTTTCAGTTTCTTACTGGCTGGATTTTGAATTCTAGGAAAATAAAACTTCAGAGAGTGGCTGTGACAGGTTGCCCCACGTGAAACCTCCCATGCACAGAATCACTGCACCAGATATAATTGAGAGCTAATTTCGTATTTCCTGCATATCATATTGGAAAATTGAGCTGTCAGATCTCTTTAAGGGCTACATGCCAAAATCAGAACACCCAAGCGCTTCTCTTCGCAATTCATTTCTGCAGGACTTTTTTTTTTTTCTCACTATCTTCAAGACTCAAGAAAGTTGTACTAGAAGCCAAATCCATCTAATTTGAGTAAGCTTTTGAAGTTCAGATATTTGCTGTGGATAAAATTGAGAAAATTTACAGGGAAAAGCTTCTCTAAAGTATCCCTTCCCACTAAAAGTCCCTTAATTTCCAGAACGTTTCAAACTGTGGGTTGTGAGATAACCAATGCATTGTGGGAGGGTGGATTGGGTCTTGGTCCTCTGTGGTCAGAGCACCCTGACTTACCTGTGCAATGAAGAGCTGGGTGAATGAGAAATAAGCAGGGAATTACTCAGTGTGTCTGCCTTCCAGATTCAAGTGATTCTCCTGCCTCAGCCTCCCGAGTAGCTGGGACTATAGGCCTGCGCCACCACACCCAGCTAGTTTTCATATTTTAGTAGAGATGGGGTTTCACTGTGTTGGCCAGGCTGGTCTCAAAGTCCTGTCCTCAAGTTATCTGCCCGCCTCGGCCTCCCGAGGTGCTGGGATTACAGGCGTGAGTCACCATGTCCGGCCCAGTACATCTGTTGAAGGTGATTAAGCTGCATGCTGTGAAGGTATTCCAGGAGACTTACAGCTGGTACGGGAACCTTAGGCTCTGTCACTTAGGAAAGAATCTTCCAATCTATGGACCACCTCACTTGT